TGTGGATGGGAACTCAACTAGGCCATTTTCAAGGTCACCGACACCTCTAAGATCCCAGGATATTTGCCCTCTGAAAGCACAGAAGCCACCTCATTCACTAATTATTTCACTCATTCATTCATCCTAAAGAGGTCTTTCAAGCACATCTGAAGTATAGAGCCAGCATCACGTTCTGGAGATACTGTCGTGACAAAGATGCTGCCCTTTCCCTGGAGAAGCCCATGGCCAAGTTGAGAAACAGAGTTAAATTATGAGATGCAAAGAAGTCCATCAAATAATAGAAGTAACTGGCTTTACCTGGGGATGCAGTGGGGTGAGGGAGAGTGAACAGAGAAGATTCCACAAAGAAGATGCTTACACTGAGTTTTGAAGGATATGTAGGAGTTTGTCAGAGGGACTCAGATGGAAGGGAATTTCAGGCAAAGGGAACAGCATGTAAAAAGTCTTATAAACTTTAAACACCTTATAACTGGCAATATAGATGTAAGGACAAGAATTGAGGCTGCAGGGGCATTTGGGGTGAAGTCGTTAAGGACGTTGCACTAAAGGGTTTGAAATGTATCCTGAAGGCAATGGCAAGAGGAGTCACTGGGTCCTATTCACATTTTAGAAAGATCTCTCTGACTACAGTGGAGAATGGATTGGAGGGGACAAACCCAAAACAAAAGAAACCAATGAGGAGACTCATAGGGAAGTATTTTAAAGTCACTATTTGCAAAACTTATGGCTGCATAGCAGCATCAGCTGGGGAGCTTTAAACACTACCAATGCCTGTGCCCCACCCCAGAGAGTCTGACTTCATTGGTCTTGGGGGGGACCTTGGCTTTGGGAGTCGTAAAGCCTCCCCAGGTGATTCTAATGTGCAGTCATAAAGAGACCTTAAGATAACGGTAACCCAAACCCTGGCACATGGCAAGTACTCAACACAATTCTTTTTTCAAAAAATCAGTATGAAAACAGTCATGCTGTCCTGCTTTTGGCTTCACCCCACTTTCAGGGGGACATGTTTGGATGAACAATTGGCTTTTATCACAGAGGGTTTCAAGTGCAAAATCCACCCTCAGTAGATCATCTTTGACATCCAGAAATCCAGTGCTAACACTGAAAGCAGCAACCTCCCTTCACATACAGAGAACAGACCTGGCAAGTTGCCTGGAGGAGCTGGAGCTACCTGGCTGGGATAGAGGAGGAGGCTAGGGCTGGAATCTGAGTTCTAAGAGTTACCTGCAGTACCTAGAAGCATCTTCCACCTAGAGATGGCCTAAATTGGTGGCAGGATGGATGTAAGGTTTGGTAGAATGAGGAGCAAGAAGAGAAACAGAAAAAGGAGAAGGAGAAAGAACAAGGGAGAAAAGTGAGACATAAGCCCCACATTTGTAAAATGAGCACTTACTTATCCTTGTAACATTTTTGCCCTACCCAGATTTAGGTCAGAGATTGATGCCCAAAGCCTAGCACCTGTTTTGATTCTCTTCCAGGATGTTAGTCTAACGACATCGGATATAGAAAGAACAAAATTATGACCCATTAATAGCTAGGAAGGCACTTTATTACCACAGTCTAAAACCTAAGAAAGGCTAAGTTGTAGAACATGGCTCAGCCTGAGAAGCCCAGGCAAAGAACTCCTTCCTGTACCCTCTAATGAATCTGAAGTTGCTAGGTAGCAGAATGAGCACGAATTCCACCTACTCAACCACTGCATGGATGAGGATCATAGTCATGCTTCTATAATAAAGGTCAGCAAGCTATAGCCATAGGCTAAATCTAGCCCAACACCTACCTACCTATCTATCTATCTATCTATCTATCTATCTATCTATCTATCTATCTAATTATTTATTGGGACAAAGTCTCACTGTTGCTTAGGCTGGAGTGCAGTGGCGTGATCTTGGCTCACTACAACCTCCACCTCCTGGGTTCAAGCAATTCTTTTGCCTCAACTTCCTGAGTAGCTGGGACTACAGGCATGTGTCACCATGCCTGGCTAATTTTTTTATTTTTAGTACAAACGGGGTTTCACCACATTGGCCAGGCTGGTCTTCAACTGCTGACCTTGTGATCTGCCCGCCTCAGCCTCCCAAAGTGCTGGGATTACAGGCATGAGCCACTGCACCCGGTCCCAACGCCAATTTTTGTAAATAAAGATGTATTGGAACACAGCCATGGCCATTTGTTTGCTTTTTATCTGTGACTGTTTTCACTCTACAACAGTAGAGTTGAGTATAAGTTTGAGTTGTTGCAACAGAGTCCACACAACTCACAAAGCCCAAACTGCTTTCTAGTTTGCCCATTACAGAAAAAGCATTCCAACTCCCACTCTAGGAAAAGACTCACTCAGGTTGATTTAACACTTGACAGACCAGATGCAAGACAGGTGGAACCGTGTGTGAGCACTGGCCTGTTCAGAACCTGCCAATAAAACAGGGCTTATTGAGGGGCTGAATTTCGGATCAACCTGGTTACAGGTTCTTCCTTGCTTAGGATGGACCTAGTAAGGAATAGATGTCAAAGGCAAGGCTGGTGTATTAAGATGAATGGTGGGTTCTCCTGCACTGCTGACAGAGAGCTGTGTAGACTGAAGGTGTTACAAATTCAGTCTCAGAAGCAATGCAAGGGCGTGAGCAGGATGTTCAGCCTATACTACTAAAGGTAGAGTAGAGACAGTAATCAAAACACGGACTGATCATCATGCTTCTGCAGCTTTTCTACAGCTGTTTCCACGCCCTTAACTGCCCGTCCTCCCTCTCTATGAAATAACTGACTGTACCCTTCCCTGTATTTCCATACCACTTGGCTCATAACTCTTGCAAATTGTCTCATGTTTGTTGACTTGTCTGTCTTATCGGTGGTTGCCATCCTCTTAAACTGACTGATGACTTTTCTCTCCTCCCTACCCCTAAGCTCTGGGTGTCTGTGTCCAACTGCCTATTCAACATCAGCTTGGATATCTAATAGGCATCTCAAATGTGGCTGCCATTATTTGTTATTTTGAACATATTTTTTAAAAAGTATGCAGTATTCAATGCTAGGCACTCTTCTAAGCACTTTACCCAAAATACAACACTTAATTCTTACCTCCCCAATCCTGTTTCTAACCCAGGCTTCTCCGTCTCAATAAATAACATCCACTCAGTTCTTCAACGTTCTAAGGGTCAGCCTTCATTCCTCCCTTTCCTTCACAGTCGGCATCTATGGCAGATGTGTTGGTGCCCTGCACACATCCAGTCTACACTCACTGTTCCCATGCATGCCCACCTGATCGTTTCCTCCTGTAAGCACCTGTGACTTTTTGCCTGAGGGCTTCTTCAAGACAGAAGAATATGCACACTCTGCCCATAGAGCATGGAAGAAGTGCTGGGGAGTTTCCAAGAGTTGTCCTCAACCAATACTGGATGAGAACTCATCAATAACTACCCCAACTTTGCACCACCCCCATGGTGGGATAGCTGTGAGGCATGAGATGTGCCCACTGGATTAAGCCCCAGTTGCCCACAGTGGTAACCTGCTCATTGATATGCCCTATATTGACTTCATTCCCTTGATTGTACCACTTCCCCATTCTCCCACCCAAACTCCCTGGGATTGCCTCCCAAACAAACTACTTGTGCCTGACTTCTCATCTCTGAGTCTGCTTCCGAGACAACCCAAGTCAACAATATTCAACTGAACATCCTGCAAATAATCACTTCTCACACGTCCACCACCACTACCCTTGTCTAAGAGTCCAAGGTACCATCATGTGTTGCCTGGAGTACTGCCACAACTTTCTAGCAGATTTCCCTGCTTCCTCCATGGCCCTCCCAGAGCCTGTGTTCCATACATGAGCCAGATTGTACTTTGAAATACATGAATCAGATCAGATGATTCCCCTGCCCAAAACCCTCTGATGATTTTTCATCATACTTAGAATAATGCACAATTAATTAACCAGTAATAGCAATGCCTCATATAATCTGGACTCCCCCATCCACTCTAGATACTACCATCACTACTTCTCCCCTCTTCACATCACTCCAGTCCTTGAATATGGTCATTTGGTTGCTGCCTGACCATCTTTGCACCTGCTGTTCCCTCTGCCTGAAAAGCACTTTCTACTTTTCTTGGTGTGACTGGCTCTTTCATATTAAGGAATTACAGTATCTATCATTAATGAAGTCCCCCTTATCTGCAGTTTTGCTTTTCATGATTTCAGTTACCCAAGGTCAATTGCAGTCAAAAAATATTAAGATATTTAGAGAGAGAGAGAAAGACTGCATTTACATAACTTATAGTATATTGTTGTCATTCTATTGTTGTTCTTAATCTCTTGCTATGCCTAATTTATAAATTGAACTTTATCACAGATATGTATGTATAAGAGAAAACATAGTATATATAGGGTTCGGTAATATCCATGGTTTCAGGAGTCCCCACTGGGGGGTCTAGGAGCAAATCCTCCAAGGATAAGTGAGGACTACTGTAACTTAAATGTCACCTTCTTGGAGGAGCCCTGCCAGAGTGTATAATCTGAAATAATTCTCATTCCTCATCACTATCCCTTTATCCTGCTTTATTTTCATCATAGCATTTTTCATATCTAAAATTACACATTTACTTTTTCATTTGCTACATTTCCTAGTTGACTGGAAGCTCAAGGGGAACTTGTCTGTTTCTCTGTGTCCCTAGTACCTAAAACAGTGCCCAGCCCATGTTAGGGGCTCAATAAGTATCTGTTGAGTGTATGAATGAATAATTCAATGAATGGACAAGCGATTCCCCTACTGGGCTAGATTGTGAACTCATGACACAGAAGACATCAATAACATTTGAAACAATGAACAAGAGAATTGGTCCATGGAAAGACCAAAATCTACGTCCTCCCCAGGCCCCATCCAAGGACATCTAGCCCTTTCCACTAGGAGTCCTATCGCACTGGGTCTCACTTCCCCCTGTTGGTTCATCTCCACTTCCATAAAGCTCCTATCTCAGGCCACTCTAACCACTCTGTCCTTGCTTTTTAGGCCTTACCAGAGGGGCAGACAGCTTCGTGGGACACAGCCAAGGAGGATGAAAACCGCAATAAGAATCGATATGGGAACATCATATCCTGTAGGTGCCCTTCTGGGAGCTCCTAAGATTCGGGTGTTGAGGACACAGGGGAAAAGAGGCTATTACTATTATTTACCTGGAATTTGTTATCAAATAATCTTTGATGTCTCTAGCTTTGTATCCACATGCCAAGATGGAAGCTTTATTTCAGCCTTATTGTCATCCCTAGACTGGATGACAGAGCATGGCTGATCTCAGCCGGAGGGAGCAGGCAGGGAGCTGGGTCAGGGCACAGCAGAACCATGAAGCCTCTTGGGGTAGAACCTCTGAAGGCTGGGTCTCACCGAGCATTGCCTGCTCAATTCCTCAGGTCGGGGAGGAAGCCCAGCCAAAAGGGCTGGCATGCAGAAGACCCCACAGCTGGACAAAGAGATGAGCTCTGTGTTCCCAGAAGCTCCTCTAATTCAAAGGAGGACTTTGGCAGCAACCTGGGGTGAGGAGCATGGGCCCCAGCCTGTGAGGGAGGGGCTGAAGCACCCGGGCAAGAGAATGGTGCTCCTCCAAGAAGGTGGAGTCACATTGGCCGATGCTCAGAAGTAAAGGCTGATGCTCAGAAGAAGCCAGTAACTCTGGCATACACCTGGGGCTTGGGGTATGCCCAGCTCAGGCCCCACAGGAGCCCGGGGCTACTCCTATCATACAAGAGACAGAGTTTAAGGCAACACAGATTCTACCTGACCCAACTATAGCAGGGCAGGGGCTCCGAGGTGAGGGCCCTCAGGTCTGCATCAGTGCAACTCGGGAGGTGCTGAGCCTGTAGGGGAAAGCACGTTCTTATGCAGGGCTAAGGAAGGACATTGCCTGCGCTCAGCAATGAGATTTACCTTTCCTGTAGGCAACCCCAGTGAGTGACTCATTGATGAAGTCAGCAGTGCAGAGTAGTTAGCGCCCTCTGGAGTCAAACTGCCCAGGTTTCTATCCCAACTGTAGGGCCCGGGGAAAGTTACCTGACCTCTGTAAACTTTCGTATCCTCCCCTTTAAAATGATGAAGATAATAGGAGGAGCATTTAAAGGCACATAAAACTCTTGCTGCAGTGCCTGGCACCATGACTCTTACCCATAGGGTTACTTTCTTGAGGTCACTGATGAGCAGCATGGATCTATCATTCCACCTTATTTTATTAACCAGGATTCACTGAGTACTCAGGACATGTCCTGTGGGGACATGGAAGAAGGCAGGTTGGTGGGGGAGAGGTGGGCATGATCAGATGTCCATTTTGGAAAGATCACTAGGGCAGCAGATATGGAAGGTGTACTTCATTGGGAAAGGCTGGTAGCAGAGGGATCAGTCAGCAGACTACTGCAAGAGTCTCACCAAAGGATAATGGGGCCTGAACAATGACAATAACTTGTATGTGACAGGTGCATGGTATTCAGTTCTGGGGGGTGAGGAAGAGACAGACTGCCACAGAACTGAATGTCATGCATAGGTAACACACAAGTATTGTCACTGCCAAACCTTGGTAGGTAACATAAATACAGTAACCTTTGAAGTTACAGTAGCCTTCAAAGTAACATAAATACAGAGAAGACAAAGTTATCTCGTACAAAATGCTAAGCATGTATTCTAATTAGAACAGGAGTCTACAACAGCCTTTGTCTGACTCAGTGTAACCAACCTGGACCTTTTGACATCTCACCAATGGTGTGAGGAGCATCCCTTGGTCTCAGCTCAGAGTAATCCAGTTCATCCAAAAGGAAAAAAAAAAAAAAAGGATCCTGAATGACAAATTATTTCTAGCACAATTCAGAGTTTTGTTTTGTTTTGTTTTGTTTTAACTGTCTAGACATTGCCTAAGAAAAAACTTGGAGGAAGAAAGAGTAAGATACAGGCAGATTGTAAAGGAAGAAAAAGGCAGAAGTTTTAGCTTAGCTGTTTCCTGTGCTGATTTAGGAATGGGCTATGAATGGTAGAACTAATCAGAAAACATTTATAATTTTTCTCTTGGAAGATGGTAATTCAGACAGCAAGATTTCTTGCAAGTGAAGTGTTGAGAACTGATATTCAAACAGTCAGCAAACATGTATTAAGACTTATGACATGTGGGCCTTCTCTAAGCAGACCCTGTGATGGGTCCTGGGAGGTGGAGCTCCTGCTCCTGGGAGCCCCCACTCCGCCACAGGGAGCTGCTTGCCCTGTCTGGTCCCCAGCATTCTCTGTTCCTGCACTGTGGATACTGTACCCTAAAATATATAGTCACTTATCTCCCTGTTAGGCTGTGAGTTCAGACAGGGTCCATACATTGTAAGTTATGTGATCTTGGTCCATCACTCCAACCTTTATTCTCTGTAAAACAGGTTTAAAAATGTCTTTCTCCTAGAGATGTGGCACAGATAAGGAAAAAATGACAGCCGGGCGTGGTGGCTCATGCCTGTAATCTCAGCACTTTGGGAGGCCCAGGCAAGCAGATCCCTTGAGCTCAGGAGTTCAAGACCAGCCTAGGCAACATGGCTGAACCCCATCTCTACAAAAAGTACAAGACGTTAGCTGGGTGTGGGGGTGCACGCCTGTGGTCCTAGCTACTCAGAGGGCTGAGGTGGGGGTATTGCTTGAGTCCAGGAGGTGAAGGCTGCAGTGAGCCATGATTGCACCACTGCATTACAGCCTGAGTGACAGAGTGAGACTCTGCCTCAAAAAAAAAGGAAAAACAAAGAAAAAGAAAGAGAGAAGGAAGGAAGAAAGGAGGGAAGAAGAAGGGGAAATGACTAGAGCACAGTGAAGGGACCCTGAATCCTTGAGAGACAAGGATACCCAGGCTGGGCTACCTATCCAGGCCCAAGCCTAGGGGGGCCTGAGGTCAGAAGGCATGCTCTGTATCTCCCCTGGATTGCCACTGCAGCAGCCTGGCCCAGATCATCATCCGCTCTCACTTGGCGCTGCCCAGCCTCCTTTCTGGTTACTCCACAGCTAATTTGGCCCCAACTTTTTGCCAGTCTGATCCCTGATAGAAGCCAGAAAAACTTCTTTGAAACATGAATTGGATGATGTCATTTTCCCACTAAAAACCCTTTGAATGATTTCCCTTCACTTTTCGGTTTTCCTTATGGAAAGGCCCTCAGCCGTCTTTTCAGTCTTATTTCACACGATACCCTCTCTATCACAGCCTCTCCCCTGAAGCCACACTGGCTTTCCTTCAGTTCTTTGAGCTCCCCATGCCCTTCTATGTCACGGGGCCTTTGCACATTCTGTTCTATTAAAGTTCTCTTCCTTTCTCTCTGTGACCTGTGAAGGTCCATGTATTCTTCAGATCTCAGCTCAGTCATCCCTTGCTTAGGGAATTCTTCTGATCCTTCGAATATGTTCAGAGCCCCACTATTCACTCCTAGAGCACTATATATGTCTTCTTAGCCCTTGTCATGACTGTGGCTTGACAGGCATTTGGAGGAATGTTGATGGCCATCTCCATCGCTAGAATAGATGCTCCATGACAGCAGGACCACGACTCCCTTCCACTTTGGTTTCCCCAAACCTGGCCTATGGTTAGTGCCCAGTAAATAGGAACTGAATGTGGGAGAGTCTCTGAAGGGCATGAGCAGTGGTCTCTTCTCTCTGCTTCCCAACTATGATAGAGAACACCCAGAAAGGAGGGGTGAAGAAAGCTGGGCCCAGTGGCACTTGGAACAATGATATTCCAGTAAGGAAGAAGATATTGAGCCTGAATGAAGACAGTGGCAAGATGGGACACGAGAGAGAAGGACAAGAACAATCTAACCCTTCTGCAAGCTGCTTCTGAGAAGGCAGGATCCAGGAAGTCAGGAAAAATGAAGGCAATGAGAACTCCAGCGCTGGGACTGCAGAAGATGCCATCAGTGTCCCACCTACTTCCCACGGCCTCACTGTGAGCAGCACGCAGCTGGTAGGGGGGTGTGCAGGGCCAGGATGAGGGTGAAACATGCAGGGAGATGCCCACGCTCAGCTGTTGACCCTGCATGGGCACAATTCTGGGAGCAAGCTCCTCCTTAAAGCCTATGGCTGAGGCTCTGAGCTTGTTTCACCCTAGCCCTGCCCTGCCTGCATCTCTTAGACTGAGGACTTTCTCCAAAGCTGAGAAAGGATCCCCTGCCCAGACACAGGCAGCCTGCAAATCCTGAAGGGTTAATAACCCCAGGAGAAGCCCTCCACCACGAAATACCCCAGCTTCTTCACCGTTCCCCTGAAGTTCCTTCTGGAGTTCCCATAGGGGTGAGGATGAGCTACCTGCAATCCTAATGGGCTTGAAAACTCACCCTTAATAAGCTGCTTTCTCTTCCCTGTCATACAGCCCCCCTTTCCTACTGGTATTCCTGTCTCCTCCTACATAAACTGCTTGGACTAAAATCTCTGTCTTAGATCTACTTCTGAGAAACCCAAATGGAGACAGACAGAATTGAAGCACCTTGACGATACCACCTTGATGGGTTTAAATAAACCAGAATCTCCTTTCTAATTTAAGAGTCAATCATTCTGCAAGAGATCAGGGCCAGAGCAGGTCTGCATTCAGTGCTGAAAGGAGACAGTGCTGAGGTAACCAGTGAATTCAGAAAGCAGCGCAAGACATAAAGGGGAATCAAGAAAAAAAGAGAAATGGAAAAAAAAAAAAACAAAAAACAAAAAAAACCCTGGAATTGAAATGGGATATGTAAAAAAGAAACAGCCCTGAGGAATGGAAAGTGTTCCTGCCCTTGTATGTGTCCCTCCCAAAGGCAAAGCCTGCTGCAGCTTGATAAATAGAAATATTCTTGGCGCAAGAAGAAAACTGGCTGTGATTAGCATCTTAAGGAACCCAGAGCACTGAGAGGCTGGAGTGGAGGACAAAGGCCCAGGCCAGGGAGAACAGAAAAGATTAAAGGGGACAAGTAGGAGGGAGGGCACTGCCTACAAATGAAACAACGAGAGACCTTGACAAAATATCCCCTTTCTTCCAAGTGATTCTATTTAGAATTTAGTAATAGAGACAGTGGGGTTTCTAGGGAGTGGACATGGAAAGGAAGTGAAAGGGAAGGAAATGAATGGGTAAAA